CATGGCTTTTACTCAGTAGACACCCACATCAGTTGCTGACCTTTAATAATGAAAGGGGGGGGGGACAGCAATCTGAAAAAAGAAATACTTCCTGCAAAATATGTCAATGTAGTTAGTAGGACGGTACCACAGCAGAGTGTTCAAAAACAGGTTCAGAAGCATTGCCTGCTGTAAGAGTGCCACGGTTTGTCACTGCTGTACAAGAATAAACACACTCACTCTTACGTCTTTTTTCTTCCCCTTTTTGAACAGGGGATATCTTTCTGAACTACCTTTCAGACTTTACAGCCCAGAGTTGGGCTTTGTGTGCATAATGACTGATGCATTAGAGCAATAACTTAGCACTGACATTCGAAAATTACTAGACAGGGACATCTCAGCCCCGTTTCTAAAGTCAAACAGGCAGAGAAGGATGCAGGAGGAGAGCAGCTGAGGTTAGCAAAGCAGTTCTGCTAGACACAATGTGAATCTGCTGCTGCCAGAAGAATTGGCTTGTTTCGGGATTCTCTCTGCCCCTCCCTTTGGCCAGGACTTTGCACCCCCCCCCCCGGAAATTGGAAAGTCTACGCCCTTGGTATGTATGAATGCAGACTTCTGCTTTCCTCTCATCTATTGCTAATGTTAAGGTTGCTACTAAATTTCACAACCCAGGCGGTTGTGTCTTCTTTAAAAAAAAAAAACCCAAAAAACAACCCTGTGCAAACTGAATACATTTATTTTCACATCATTTTCTGGGAGAGCTCTGATAGAAACTGCTCTTTTTTCAAGAACAGCTGTGCCAGAACTACGGCATGCCCAAGGTCATCCAGCAGGTACAAGTAAAGGAGTGGGGAATCAAACCTGGCTCTCCCAGATTAGAGTCCGCAAACTTAACCACTACACCAAACTGGCTCAAGGTCCAGGATCCTTCTTCAGCAGACTAAAATGGAAAACAGAACGTGAAGTTCTTAGGCAAGTCCCATTCAGCAGCCACCTTTTTAATGACACATTATACTTTAAAAGGTCCCACATATTTCCACCTCAGCTTTTTCCCAGGTTGCAAGTCCTTCAGATTTTTTGTGGACACATAGACAGAGTCCCCAGGTTGTAAGTCCCACTCTGGTGACCTGCCCTTGTCAGCCTGGGCTTTGTAATCCTCTTTCGCTTTAACCAGAGTCTTTTGAATTAAGGTCCATTGCTGAACCAAGTCAGACCACCACACTTCCAAGTCCCTGGGTCCAGTTGGTTCAGATACAATTGTAGGGGGGGGGGCTCATACCCCTGCACCACCTTAAAGGGGGGAGCCTCGGTGGAGCTATGCAGCAAGTTATTATAGCTTGATATAGCTTGATAATCCACCCATTTCCTTCTCTTCTACCTTTCCCTTCTTTTCTATCTGGCCCGCGGGCTGCTTGTTTGATATCCCTGCTCTGGAGAATCATCATATGGCTGGAGGCTTCAGTTTTGCAACTCACAGCATAGCTTACGTAGCTTTCTTAAGGTTCTACTTCAACAGTAAGACTTAAAATATTCCCGATCTGTCAAGTGTGTTACCTGAACACCAGTGCTGGCTCTCCATGTTGCTTCTGCTGCATGGACATTCAGCCCCCCCACCCCTTCGGACGCAAGCTCGTCTTGCAAATATCCCCCATTCCTTATGGTTGCGATAGATATAAAACGACACAAGACTACGAAGTTCTGGAGTGCAGACATTGCAATATGATGATTTTATTTAACTTTGTTGTGAATGCTGCCGGAATAATAAACCAAAATCCTTATATTATCGAAGAATTGTACATTTCTGCTCAGCAGGCATACTAGAGATATGTGTCTGTATGAACCAACATGTGAAGATGTTGGCTTGGTTGGAATTCCTGCATTTCCGAGCGTTTGTAGGAATAGTTGTACCCTCTGCCAGAATGCCAGTTCACACCATCAGCAAAAGAGGAGTGAGACCCAAGCCAGTACATCCCATTGAGGTTGCTGTAGTGGCAGCTGTTGTACCACCAAGCTCCTTTGTAAGTCACTGCACAATTTCGGTTGCTAGGATCCTGTTGTCTGTCTTTGGTGGAGAAAGGCATGCGGTTGTGGACAGTGAGTGAATCACCTGCAAATGACAGATTAAATTCGAGGTTAGGGTAGACTGCAGACTGGTTCACACATACATACATGTCCATTACAGGACCAGTGCAGAATCTAGGAGTTACTTGTGCATCACCTCTGGTTCAAGGCCATCCAGTGGAATTAATTCATATATTTAGATCCCAGTCATCTGGAGCTTGTTCACATGGGCTTGAACATCATCTGACTTTTCTTAATTTGATGAGGGGGTGGTAGATATCTGGACTGATTCCACACACAAAAACATAACGTCTGGAGCAATCTGAAAGTGCTGCCTGGAGGGACACAATGATCAAGGTCTTGATCAAGGCCCCTTAGGGGAGTGTAAATAGAGGCTGATTAAGTTGAGATAGAGGACGTGTTTCTTAGAATGAGAATAGTTAACAGATTTTCAAAAGTGTGACATTCTTTATGGACAGTCCATTCCTTACTACAAATTCAGTTCAGATGTCGCAAACAAATCTGGCATGTATCTTGTTAAAGATCAGGCTCATGTGCACCTTCCTTTCCCTATGCCAAGATTCAAGATGGAGGTTCAGTTAATTTCAATTAGTGGTAAAGTCCAAATACTTGGCCCATAACTGGAGGCAGAATCATACCCAAACTATTTCTACATGGTGAGGATTCTCCACATTGCTTTCATGGCCTCTTCAAATGCAGAGGAATTTATGGAGCATTCTGCGTGGGATTTTCTGCACAATTTCCCCCTGTCCAACACTTGAATGCTTTTTGAGGGTTTTTTAAAAAATCTAATTGCCATAGCATTCTATTGTTAGCATTATAGCACTAGAACAATTAGCCATTTTTTTTTCAAAAGCCGTCCAGTGGTGTGGTGTGGCACAGCAAGGAAAATGGCACCTGCAAGAGGCTGACAGCAGGAAAACGGTGCTGATTGGGGGGGCGGGGGCAGAAGGGCTGTTGAAAACGATGGCGTGATAATGCACTTGGGCCATGTTCTTTCTTAAAAGATTGAAGTAAAGCAGGTTTAGGAAACAGCATATCAAGGACAGGGAAAAACTAAAAAGAAGCCTGCTGATGCACATCATGTGGATGCCCACCCGTAAGTAGGATTTTTAACCGCTACTGAATCCTGGTTAAGAATCCCAGTTATTGTGAAGGTAAGTAAGCCTAAAATGTCCAGCCAGTCCAATGCCAAGACTACAACTCACTGGAGTTAGCTGAAAACTTTCGTCTTCAACTACCACAGTGTTCTGCATTTAGGTAGGGGAAAAAAATATATAATTATAGGATGGGGAAGACTTGTATTGGCAGAAGTACTTGCAAAAAGGATCTAGGGGTCTTAGTAGACCATACTTAGTAGAACATGAGTCAGCAGTGTGATGCAGTAGCTAAAAAGGCAAAGGTAATTTTGGGCTTTATCAACAGAAGTACAGTGTGCAGATCATGCAAAGAGATGGTATCACTTTGTTCTGCTCTGGTTAGACCTCACTTGGAATACTGTGTTAAGTTTTGGGCACCACAGTTTAAGAAGGATGTTTACACGCTGGAGCGTGTCCACAGGAGGGCAGCAAAAATGGTGAGGGCTTGGAGACCAAGTTCTATGAGGAAAGTTTGGAAGGAGTTGAGTATGTTTAGCATGGAGAGGAGACGACTGAGAGATTTCAGATATTTCAAGGGCTGCCATATACAGGATGGAGCTGAGTTGTTGTCCCAGAAGGTCAGACCAGAAGCAATGGATTGAAATTAATTCAAAAGAGTTTTTGACTAGATATTAGGATGAACTTCCTGACGGTTAGAGTGGTTCCTCAGTGGAACGGGCTTCCTTGGAAGGTGGTGGGCTCTCCTTCTTAGGACATTTTTAAGCAGAAGCTAGATGGCCATCTGACAGCAATGCTAATTCTGTGAATTTAGACACATCATGAGAGGGAGGGCAGGAAGGGATCAATCAGTGCTCGGCTCTCGTGGCCCATTCTTAAAGGCCCAAGTAATCCTGGTGGCCATTTTGGGGTCAGGAAGGAATTTTTCTCCAGGCCAGATTGGCTAGGGATCCTGGGATTGTTTGTTTTTACTTCCTCTGGGCATATGTGTGGGGGGGGAGGTAATTATGAATTTCCTGCACTGTACAAGGGGGGGAGTGGACTCAAGGACCCTTGAGGTTCCTTCCAACTCTATGTTTCTACATTTCTGTGTATGGGGGGAGGGTAGAAGGAAATATGGAACACACAAGCCTAAATTTAACCAGGTTTGTACCTGTACAGACAAACAGGGTTTTTTATGTGTGTAACATCTGAATGCACCCTATACAAAACTGTCTTTTTCCCCTTCACTTTAGCTCTTCTATGGCCATCTCCACCTTGGTTTTGAGGACAGTTTGACCTATTTAGTATAGACTGGTTGCAGTTGGGAAGGCAGCTGCAACACTCTCTTCTCCTTCTCCTTCCATGGTTATGGTTTTCTCTTCTGACCATAGAAGCCATCCAGAAGGTCCCCAGCCACATACCTGCAGTGCCCTCAAGGAAGGCTCCAAGTCCCAGCCTGTACTGATCTGCCTCCCCTGAAATGTTGAAGGATTTGTATTTGGCCACAGTGTGTCTGTTGTCAAAATCAGTGAAATCAATGCGCAGCTCATTTACTCCTATTCAAAACAGAAATAATTATGTTGCTACATTTAGAGGCTGCAATAAGAACTCCATCAATTCCACAGACAGATAAGGATATGACCCAGTCACAATCTATCAAGAACCTTTCACACAAGGTTTGCTGAAATATGTATGGGATTGCTCATAGGTGCATAATTATGCTTGTGTACTACATGCACTGTTTTTCAACAGTGCCAGTTCAAGGAAGATTTACCCATAGACTGTGCCCACAACCCTCTGAAAATAGAGGTGTCCTATAGGGAACTGCAAAAACAATCTGTCATCTTACTTACTTATATAAAATTAAATTACATAGAACATTTTAACATAATTATATTAAAATCTGATTATGTTGACCCAGGTTATTTTTCGGGATCTAAGAAATTTTGTATTAAGCAGCACTGTTTCCTGACTTCTAAAACAACAGATTCCTGTCCAAGTAGAATTTTTAAATTGAACCCCAGAAACAAAAGAAAAAATGGGTGGAATATTGTTGAACATTCCTTGGAAACTGCTGTGAAAGAAGAAAGGATTTGGGAAACATCTTAGTCTTTCTGCTGAAACGTTTCCATTGGAATGGCATCTTATGCAATGGTTATGTCTTGGGCCACTACTGAAGTGTGGTACCCCCAGGACAATCACACAGGCAGACACTGGGTCCAAGCTGCACCCCAAAACAATATTTGGACCACCCCAACTGACACATCCCCATGCTCTGGAGACTGTCCCCTGCAAGATGGCATACAGTGATGCCCGGTTCAAACACTGGTTCTGGCGCCATGACCTTTTCCAGTGCAAAGACAGCCCTCCAATCTCAAACTACTCATCACCTTCAATAATACAGCATCTAATTTAAACATGTAGACTGGTAGAGCTTGCAACACACCCTGATGACAACTTTGCTGCCGCATACACCCAGACAACACAATCACTGGACCTAACAATGTCAACTATACCATCTCAGGCTTATTCACCTGCTCATCTCCTAACAGTGTATTTGTCATCAAATGTCAACAATGCCCTTCAGTTCTCTATATAGGAGAAACAGGTCAAACCCTACACCAAAGGATAAAAGTAAAGGTAAAGGTTCCCTTGCTCGAAAGCCAGTTGAATCCGACTCTAGAGTTGCGGTGCTCATCTCCGTTTCAAAGCCGAAGAGCCAGCGCTGTCTGAAGACGTTTCCGTGGTCACATGGCCGGCATGACTAAACACCAAGGCGCACTGAACGCTGTTACCTTCCCACCGAAGTGATACCTATTTATCTACTTGCAATTTCTTGCTTTCGAACTGCTAGGTTGGCAGGAGCTGGAACGAGAGACGGGAGCTCACTCCGTCATGTGGATAAATGGACACAAATCTGACATCAAGAATCACAAAACAGAGAAACCTGTAGGAGAACGTTTCAACCTCCCAGGGCACTCCATGGGGGACCTCAAAGTAGCTGTTTCATGTCAAAGGAATTTCAGAAACAGACTGGAATGGGAGATTGCGATATTGCAAGTTATTGCAGCACTCAGGACAATGGAACTCCCAGGGTTTGACAGAGATATCGGCTGCTTATCACACCACACAAGCCAATTCACTGTGTTCTTACTTATACCCAGAAATTACAGTTTGTTGGTCTTATAGAGGCCACTGGACTCAAACTTTGTTCTCATATCTGTTGTTCATTCATAGAATAATAGAATCATGGAGTTGGAGGGGATCTCCAGCCAGGGTCATTGAGTCCAACCCCCTGCACAATGCAGGAGATTCACCAATACCCCCCCACACACCCCACTCCCAGTGACTGCTATTGCACACCCAGAAGATGACAAAAAACCTCGAAGATCTCTAGCCAAACTGGCCTGGAGGGGAAAAAAATCCGTACCCCAAAGTGGCGATCACATTTCCCTGGGTGTGTAAGAAAGGGTCTTATTATCTGTATGCCAACATGCTGCTGTTTATATGTCCTACTACATGTGTTATTCCAATCTTAGCTACATTTTTTGCTCGGTTACGTATGCTATTCAGCTCTTTCTGGCAATTAAACACCCCCCACTTGCATTTAATATTTGAGGCAATCTGTTTTAATGCCTGTAAAGAAGTGTGCACACGCTGAGTCTCTGTTCTCCCTTTTCTGTAAAGAAGTGTGCACACGCTGAGTCTCTGTTCTCCCTTTTCCCCCGGGATTGAGCCTGGTTTGTCTTTGGGTGCTGCTGGACTCTAGTCTCATTCTCACATCTCCTTGTTAATTCTTGCATTTATGTGCTAATTTGCTGCCATCCATTGGTTCTTGGCCAAATGGTCCAATTTCAACTCTGCATATACAGTTTGGTTCTTAGTGGCCTCTCCTGATGGCTGCCACCACCAATTTTTTTCCTGTAAGTAGCCCTTGAGATTTTGTTCCAATTTTTCTGAAGAACTATGCTTTGCACATGAAAGCTTATACTTGGAATAAAACTTAAAGGTGCCACTGGACTCACTTTGTTCTGCTGCTTCAGACCAACACGGCTACCCACCTGAATTGATCTCAAAGGTGCTACTGTGGAAAGGTGCTCAGTGACTGGAGACTAAGCCACATGAGACTGGTGCTTTTGGAAAGCTAGAAAGAATGGTCCTGACTTTGAGGACAACATCATAAATGCATTCTTACAACACTATACTTTGCTACAGAAAGAAAGATATTGGGAGACCAATTCTACTTGGTCAAGGAAAGCAGTTCTACAAATCAGTGATGATGTCACAGTTCAGTAAAGAGCCAACCCACATATATGAAAATGTGCATTCAGTATGCTCCTGAAATAGGTCCGAAAAAGTAATCCTACCTCAAATAGCCAATGTGGGTTATGTTAAGTAAGTTGTTTCAGGGCCAAAAGCATCCCATGGACACCTGCACCAGTTGGCATACAGATAATGAAGAAGTTAGCAACAGATGTGAGAATCAAGTTTGAGTCCAGTGGCCTCTACAAGACCCACAAATAATTTCTGGGTATAAGTAAGAACAGAATGACTTAGCATGTGTAGTGAGATAAGAAGCCAATATCTCTGTTAAGCCCTGGGGGTTCCATTGTCCTGAGTGTTGTAATAACTTGCAATTCAGCAATCTCCCCTTCCAGTCTCTTTCTGAAATTCCTTTGAAATAAAACAGCTACTTTGAGGTCCCCCACTGAGTCCCCTGGGAGTTTGAAATGTTCTCCTACAGGTTTCTCAGTTTTGTGGCTCTTGAGGTCAGATTTGTATCCATTTATCCTTTGGTGTAGGGTTTGACCTGTTTCTCCTATGTAAAGAACTGAAGGGCATTGTTGGCTCTTAATGGCATATACAAGGTTAGCAGATGAGCAGGTGAATAAGCCTGAGGTGGTGTAGTTGATGTTGCTCCAAAGTGAGGTGCTCCCAGGACAATCATACAGGCAGACAGTGGGGCCTGGCTGCATCCCAAAACAATCTTTGGACCACCCCAACTGACACATCCCCATGCTCTGTAGACTGTCCCCTGCAAGATGATATACAGTGATGTCCGGTCCAAACACTGGTTCTGATGCCACAACCTTCCATTCAGAGTTCCTCCCAGAGGCCTGTATTTCAAAGAAGATTTGAATAAGTAAATGCCCTCTGCACCCAAAATGAGATTTGGACCGCCACACTATATACACCCCCATGTTCAGTGGACTCTCCCTTTTGAGTGGACATATACTGTTTCCTGGTCCAAAGCATGGTTCTTGTGCCAGCTGTTCCAAAGTGTGGTGCCCCCCGGACAATCGCACAGGCAGACACTTGGGCCAGGCTGCACCCGAAAACAATCTTCAGACCACAGCACTCTGGAGACCGTCCCCTGCAAGAAGACATATAGCAGCACCCGGTCTAAACTCTGGTTCTGGCAGCACTTGCTTCTATTTGGGTTTCAACCAAAAGCCCTTTATTTCAAAGGTGATTGGAATAAGGAACTGGTCAGACAGCTTGCCCTCTGCACCCCAGAATAAGGTTTGGACTACCACATGTCAAGCCCAAAAGAGACAATAATATGACACCACTAATGGTCACATACAGCTCTCAACTCAAAACATCTTAATACATCATCAGCAACTTACAGCCTCTACTGGATAATGACAGTACTCTTTCAGAAGTACTGGCGGGGGGGGGGGGGGAGAGCAAACTGTTTCTAGTGCATAGGCAGCTCCCCAATCTCAAAGAACTCCCCACCCACAATAATACAGCATCTTATTTGAACATGGTACTGGTACCAGAGCTTTCAACAAAACCAGATGCTTGGTGGGATGAGGAAAATCAGTGGGATACAGTGATTCCCGGTTATATATTATATCGGAAGGATGGGGGGGGGAAGGGTTGGAGGTGGGGAGGCTCTGTGTGTCAGAGAGGGTATAAAGTCCAGAAAGATTGAGAGGCTAAGAGAATTGGATTCGCTTCTGGAAATTCTATGGGTTGAAATAGGGGGCCCAAAAGGAAACTTAACACTGGGAGTTTGTTATCGCCCACCAGATCAAAAGATAGAGGAGGATTATAAAATGATGAATGGATTAAAGATAGCAGCTAGACAAAAAAACCTGTGTCATAATAGGTGATTTTAACTACCCACACACTGATTGGGTCAATATGTGTTCTAGTCGAGAAAAAGAGATTGAGTTTCTAGACACTCTAAATGACTGTGCTATGGAGCAGATGGTCACGGAGCCTACCTGGGGAGAGGCGATCCTTGATTTGGTCCTAAGTAGGAGTGTGCCAAAAAAAAAAAAAAAAAAAATCCGGCTTGTTTCAGATTTGGCCAAATCTGGCAGAATCAATTTCCACCGGCATAAAGACTCCTACATGTCCATTTCCACAGTAGGAGCCAATTCAGGAGACTTTCGGCCAGCCGAATGTCAGTTTCAGCCCCATTATATCCTATGGGTCAATGGCGAAAACATAGGATATATTCTGGGGGCTGGAGAGGAGGGGGTTTGAGGGAGAGGCTCCAGACTCGCAGGGTAGCTGCTGGAGCCTCTCCCCAAGATACCAACCATGTTTCAAGAACATTGGACCAGGGGGTCCAATTCTACGGGCCCTCAAACAGGTTGCCCCTATCCCCTCCATTGTTCTCTATGGTGGGGGGAAAAGTTACCAGGCTTCACTGTATATCATCTTGCAGGGGATGTTTACCCATCATATGTATTAGTATTAGATAAATTTTTATGTCTGATACTTAGATAAAGACTTTTATCAGTATATGTTTTAACACGTGTACACCCTAATAAATATTTGTACTTTTATAATATACATTGTTAGCTTAGCCCTTTGGTTTGCAGTCTTATCTTGGGTTGAGTTTCCCCCCTTTCCCCCCCAGTTTTTGTGGAGCTGATCTCTGTCACCTGGAGATCAGTGGTAATCCCAGGAGAGCTCAGCCACTACCTGGAGGCTGTATCAAAACACAATCTCCACTACCTGTAGCATTGTCGACAGAAATAACAACATGTTAATGGGGCGACTGGATTTGGAAAACTGGTCTAAGGAGAATTATCTAAATTATCTTTTGATTTCACAGCTAAGAGTATCAGCTTTCTGAAGAAGCAGGAAGCGAACCACGGCATTGAAGCGAGCCATGTATAGCTGCTACTCCCTTAATGTGGAACCTTTGTTTTCCTGTGGAACTTTCACTTTTTTGAAGCATCTGCTCTCCTGAAGCATCTTATACAGAAGATTAGTGAACTTTACTTGGATTTTGTCTTTTGTATGAAGTCCTGTTGGATCCTAACCCTTTAAGAAATTATAAGAGTGTTTGCATTGGAGAAATATTTGAACTGTTAAGAATTGTTAAAATTGTCTTGGATAATATATTCTTTCTACTTCTGTTCGTAAGTTTTTCACGGAGTGTTTGTGTTTTGATACAACCCTCTCCTGTGAGCTCTCTTTTGGCTATAACTACCTGGAGGCTGGCAACCCTTAATTAGGGCCCATAAGGAACCCAGCTGTGAAATCCTGTCTACACAATGCTATAATGAGTCTTCTGAGCTCTCTGACTGGATGATCACCCAGTTATGAACTTCAGCAATTTGTCCTATAGACTAACTGTTGAGGTTTGGGCCAAGGTTTGTCATCTAGCCACAGACAAGAATGATAAAGTGCAGGAAGTGTTTACCTACCTTTCCCTATGCTATATGAGACAGCTCATGGTGTGTGTGGAGAACTTGGTTAGGGGGATGCCTGTCTCATGAAACACATCCCCCCAACCTAACTTTGGTTGCTATAAGTAATTAGGGGCTTAATCAGGCCAATTTCTCCTGTCACTGATGCTCAGCTGTGGTGAATGATGAATGCTCACCATTGTAGGCCTGTTGTGGAAATAAATACAATGAGCTCTAGAAAGAGGCTTTGGGCAGGTGCCCCAGTCTTGGGCACTCAGCATTCATTTGCTGTGGTGACCTCAGCAGGGTATAATGACACAGAGTCCATCATTTTCTCCAGGGGAGACTGATTACAGCAGTTGTGATTCTGAGTGATGTCCAGCCCCTACCTGGAGATTGGCAACAATTGTCCCCCAGGAGGAAAAGTACAGTCTTTCTCTGCAGTGGGGACCAAAGCAGATTACATCATTCTCCTCTCCCCCTTTTGATCTGCACAACAACCTGGTGAGGTAGGTTAGGTTGAAAGTCTGTGGCTGGTCTGAAATCACCCACTCAGCTTCTGCAGCAAGAACCTGCTTCTGGCAGACCCTCCTCTGAAGTGCTAACTGCTATGCCACACTGGCTGTGGTATCACCTGGTATCACAACTGAACTCTTGATAACAGATCTCTCTCCCCCCCTGGAGAAAATAACTGCTTTGGAGGGTGGACTCTATGGCATTCTGTTCCACTGAGGCCTCTCCCCTCCCCAAACTCTGGCTTCCGTAGACTCCACCACAAAATCTCCAGGAATTTTCCAACCTGGAGCTGGCAACCTTAGTCAGGGCCCCAATGAGTTCCCCACAAAGGCCAAAGTAGGCCTGGAAAGGGCCTCCCCCCACACCTTTTTACTGACATAACCAAGTTGCCTAGCAACAGCCCCTGAGGGGAAAGTGAGCCACACAGCAGAAGAGAATAGTTTGATGGCCTCTGGCCCACCGCAGTAGCCATCCATCCATGGATGAGCCAAGCAACAGTACAAGCACTTTTGTTAGGAGAGACAGCCGTTTTAGCAGTTTATTCAGTCAGGGAACAGTGGCCAGGCTGCCAGTGGGTGGGAGAGAGGAGCAGACCCAGCACCCAGCCAATGACATGCAAGGACTCTTGAGTGATGGTTGATGGGCCAATGGCTGATGGAGCACACAGCAGAGCCAGTGAGAAAGCTGGAAAGTGCCAATATGCTAGGGCTTTTATATTAATCAGATATACAGAACAACTGAGTGATGATTATAGGAAAAGTGAAAACTCCTGTCAGGATGAGGGTGAAATGGAAGGTAGCATGCATTTTACCTTGTGAGGTCAATTGGTGAATGTTGTCATTCCCCAGCCAGAATTCAGTGAGCTTGCTTCCAAATCCTCTCTTGTAAGAGTTCCAGTCCCGGTAAAAATCCACAGAGCCATCGGTCCGTCTCTGGAATACCTGCAAAGAAAAAAGAGGACTTCTCTGTTTGACCTTCTCCTAACCATGTCATATAACAGTCGGTAAGGGGGATTTTGTTAGCCCAAGCCCCCACACTTGCCACGTAAAGACAGTACCCAGGCCAGGTTAAGGCCAAAGTTGGCATAGGATAAATGTAGCCCTCTCTTTGTGCAGTGCCAACTAGCCCAGCCATGTGCTCAGGACCATCTCTCAGATATAGCCTCAAGCAGACATGTATCTGCCATTGTAAAAGACAATGGCCGAGTTCAGACTGGCAGTTCAGACTGGCATATAAACGCGTTTCAGAAATGTTCCACAACCGGATTAAATGGGCCGTTCACACAGGCACATCTGTCAGGCGTTCCCCACCCGTACTCAACCCATCTTGTAACACTTCGCTCCCGAGTTTAAAAGATACCTGGTGAAAGTGGTAGCGAACCCTGGAAAGTGCAATTATCCCGTGTCATTCCCACACCAACAAAGTGTGAACGCCAAAAGCCACATTTTTCTTATGTGCATAAGCACTCATGCACATAAGCGCATATCTCCAGATTACAAAAAAAGAAAGCTGCACCTTACAGCCGTGCCTCCAGGCCAACAGTGCGAATGCTCCCTTGTGCCTCCTCCTGGTATGCTCCTGCATCAATCACTGCAGTGTGAATGGGGAAACCTTTCTAGCTACCTTTCTGAAGAGAGGAGTCCACAGTGAAAAGAAGCAGACTGCTTGGCCTGCAAGCCCATCTGAGGAGGCCCAAAGGAAATGGGGGATTCAGCCAGTACACGTCCAAAGAGATTGAACCAAAAATAGCTGGGTTTGGAGTCCAGATATAGGAAAATTGTGCCTTCAGGGCAATAGGCCCAATGGGGAAATGGTCCGTGATGGGCCAGGATGGCCAGTAATGACTCTAGAGGGGTTTGGGACAAAAGAAGTGCATGCTTGGGGAAGGAAAACTTTTGTTATTAAAGCGTTGGACAGTTTCAGGGTCTTGGCTCCGTTAATGGCTGGGCTGTGGCCAGTGTGGTCCCCATGTTGAATTAAAAAGTCCGGAGATGCAATGCAGATACATTGGTTGAGTTCAGACAGGCAGTTTGAAGTGGGAGGGAGTTGTAGCAAAAAAGACCTGGAACAGTTTGTTCGACGGAGTTGGTCAGCTGTAAGGTCCAGGCGTGTTCCGGCAGCATTCTTTTTTCTTTCGGCATCGCTTGATGTCGTCAGCATTGTTTCAGTCGCAGCGCACCACTGCCACCGTCTGGCCGAATGGCCTATTGCAGGCTTTTCTTCGATGCTGCATAGTTCTTTCTCGGCTTTCGGATCTTACGCGCAGACCATCCGATTGGCTAACACAACCCCCACCGGGGGGGGTTAGTGTGCCCACTCTCTCTAAGGAGTGGTACCCATTTTATCTACTCGCCGAAGCTTTCAAACTGCTGGGTGGACGGCAGTTTTACAAAATGTTTCACAAAAGACATTTCCTGTCTGTCTGTGCAGCTTCGAGAGGGTTCTGACTCTGGTATAGTTGGCGTGCGATCCCTAGCTTGTGCACCTATGAAACAAATGGCCTCTTAGCTAATTTCCCCCATCATAACTTAAACAGAGACCCAGTGTTGCGGCTAACAATGTGGTATCAGAGGAGGGAATGAATTTCAACAGACGGTCCCCTTGCCACACCCACAATTGGTCTATGTCAAGCCACAGCGGCTTTTGCCACTCTCTCAAGGCTATGGAGAGAGAAGAGAAGTTTAAAGTTCCCTTTTCTGTCCAGACCACACTGACTGAGGGAACAGCACCACTGTAAAGGTTCAAAGAAGAATCACAGTACAATCCTAATTACAGTTATACCTTTCTAAACCCATTAATTTAACTGGATTTAGAAGGGCATCTCTGTGTTTAGGATTGCATTGTGTCCCCAAAGTTAAAATAAATAAATAAATCCTTGAACAATATTAGCTGTACTCTTCCACAGGTAGGAATCTTCAGATAAAAGTTACAGCTGGTCTATTGAACAATTAGATACAACTATCTTTTTGAGAGACAGGATAATTTGGAACAAGATAGGGTCAAATGTGAGAGGACTGCAATGAGATCTATTTATAAAGGTTTGGAAGAAGTATAAATAAGTGTTGATGCAGGGGGTTGTGTCAAGTTCTTCAGCAATCTATTCTAAAGATTGTTCTGTGGCAAGGATAGTAAGCAATTTTTTTCACATCAGAAAGAGCAAATCTATTTAGGTACTGTGATTTATTTGCTAGATGTTTCTCGTGCATAACATAGGCCCCGGTCACATGGGCCAGATAACGCGGGGGGGGGGAGGCGTGGCTGTTTGCCCCGGAGCAAAATAAAGTGCGGTAGCCCGATCACACGGTCCCTCTAGTCTTCGCGCTTAGGCTGTTCGCTGGTGATCACATGGTGATGCTGAAGCATGGCAAAGAAGTGGCGCGGCAAGCGTTTTGCATTTGTGCGCATGCGCAATTCTGTGGAGCAGCACTGCTTTCAGTTATGTGTTTGTATGCATGCACTTACGAAAAACATCTGGTTCATGACGGGATGTGGACGGGCGCCGGATGCCGCAGGATACTAGCGCTCCCGCGATCAGACGCCTGCCCCTGCCCTGCGTTTTCCAGATACTAGTGCACTTTCCGAGGTAGTTTTTTACTGCGCATCTTCGGTGGGTCGCTACGGGTTGGCCATGGGTGCACTATGCTTTCCAGATGTTGCAGTGTGATCGCGCCCCGAAAATCCGCCTGACATTCATGCCTTTAGCACAGCAAATCCTCCGTGTGAACGGGGCCATGATAAGGTAAACAATAAGGTGAAATAGAATCCAGAGAAGAATACTGTCAATAGATGTTTAACAGATGTTGAAAAGTAGCTGGTTAATTTGAAATCTTCCCTCTATATCTTCCCTATACAGAAATAATGGAGACATCACTGGATATTGATAAGTACAGGGGGAAACAGAAAGTGACTATCAGTATATATCAAAAATAGACTGAAACTATAAATGTAAATTAGTTGGGGAAAACTAAATCTTTGATATAGTCCTGTAAAGCTTTTTAAAATTAAGGAACAGTAAATTATGATGGTGTCAGTCAAATTAAGCTGATTTTATAAATATTCAATTGAGATGCAAGAAAGTCATTTTTGGCTCATTGGCAGAGCATCTGCTTGGTGGCAGAAGGTCCCAGGCTCAATCCCTGGCATCTCCAGTTAAAAAAATCAGGTAGGAGGTGATGTGAAAGACCCCTGCCTGAGACTCTGGAGAGCCACTGCCAGTTTGAGTAGACAATACTGATTTTGATGGACCAAGGGTCCGATTCAGTATCAGGCAGCTTCACGTGTTCATGTGTTCAAGTAATGTGATGACCAGACTTAGTTCTCTAAAATGATACTAGAAGTCGTAGAAGAAAAAAAGCCATATAATAATGATAAACACTTAATATTTATACAGCTTATTTTAAAGGATTCACATACATTATCTCAACAATCTTTCCAGCCACTATTTATGATAGACTAATAGTTTTACCATGTTGCAGATGGAGTCTGAGAAATAGGCAAGGAATGTGGCTTTCTTAAGGCAACCCAGGAAATTCATGTCAACGGGAGGTCCAAACTAGAGGCTCCTTTAGGCTACTATTTAGCAAAAAAACAAGGATCCAGGCATGGATATTCCAGTGTTTCATCCAGTTTTACTTTGAAACACAGGCTTATAACTGCAGTGGACTAGACTTCTTCCAGCCCACCTGATTTTGTTTTGGGTGTGCAACCCACTGTATTTTGCACAAATTCATTAAAAAGATGGAAATGCATGAAGAAGTCACTACACAAGCAGTGCAAAAATTTAATTCTGTTTGCATTCTTCATTCATTATTTATTTACACAAAATTGTACAGCCCACAGACTAAATCTTTTCAGGTTCATGAGGCAGCTCACAAACATACAAAGGAAATATAAATACAATAAAAAGATTAAAACTCACAGACTGAAAACCATGATAGTAAAACCCTTTATAAAAAGCCATCAGTTAAAAGTTAAAGAGCTGGGTAAAAAAGAGAGTTTTAGATTAGTGCCTAAAACTAGCAAGGCTAGGTTCCAAATAAACCTTTTACTGGAAGAGAGTTCTATAACTAGGGGCCACCACAGAGAAGGCCCAACACTCAGGCAGGCAGGGGTGGGGAGAGGCGGGGAGGAAGCAACTTACCCTCCCTCTTCTCCTGCCTCCTCCTGGCTGAATGAGGGCCGGAAGCGAGGCGGCCGAAAGCAGGGGGTGTGGCTTCGTCGTGTGCCCTGCCCCCCACACCTCACCCGGGGGAACTGCGATCCCCCCCCGAAATGACCTCTGAAAACCATTATAGTAAAACCCTTTATAAAAAGCCATTAGTTAAAAGTTAAAAAGCTGGGTAAAAAAGAGAGTTTGAGCCTGGTGCCTAAAACCAGCAAGGCTAGGTTCCAAATAAACCTTTTACTAGAAGAGAGTTCCATAATTAGGGGCCACCACAGAGAAGGCCCAACCCTCCTTACTTCCACAGGTGGAGGCACATGGGAAAGGCCTGTCCAGAAGATCTTAATTGTCAGCCAGGAATCTGTGGGAGAAGTTTGTCCTTTAAATATCCTGGCCCCAAACTGTTTAAAGGTAATGACCAGCATCTTGAATTGAATGTGGAAGCAAATAGGCTTCAGGAAGTTGTTTCACAATTGGTGTGATGTAGAGTCAGCCCCAGACAGTAATCTGGCTCCAGCATTATGTACCAATCAAAGCTCTGAAACCTCACACAGATTACAGTGCAATAATCCAGTCGTGATAGGGTTGCCAGCCTTCAAGTGGTGCTTGGAGATGACCTGGGATTACAATTGATCTCCTGGTGACAGCAATCTGTTCACCTGGAGAAAATAGCTGATTTGAATGGTAGACTCTATGGTATTATACCCCCTTGGAGTCCCTCCCCTCTCCAGATCCCACCCTCCTCAGGCTCCACCCAGGGCCGGCTCACCCGCTAGGCGAACTAGGCATTCACCTAGAGTTCCGGGCCCTGGATGGGGCAGCAGGCCCTGGATGGGGCGCTGAAGTTCACCTCCCCCCCAAAGCCCACGCGCCGCCATTCACCTCCCCTGCTCCGCCGCTGAAGCAGCCGCTTCCCCAGCCGCTTCCCCAGCCGCATCCCCAGCCAGCCATCCCCGCGTCCCCCGCCGCCATCCCCGAGCCCCACTGTCTGCTGCAGCAGCTTCCCCACAGCCAGGCAGGGGCAGGGGAGAGGCAGCCTGGCCCTTCTGGGTGACTTCTCTGTGGTGGGGCAGTTGTGGCTCCAGCGCGCCTGGCCATGGGGGAGCCGGAGGCGGCACTGCTACTGCTGCGGCGGGTCAGGGCTGCATGGAAGAGGAGGCTGCCACTGCCCAGAGCCCCCCGGTGGTGGCAGTGAAGGCAGAAAGGAGGCGAAGGCAGGCAGGCAGGAGGCAGCGGGGGGAGGGAGGAAGGGAGGGCGCGCAGGGACGGACCCCCCCCTCTCCAATCCCCCCCATTCTCCAGGCCGGCTGGTGGTGCTGCACCAACATGGCCGGAGGTGCAGAGGAGATGCGGCGTCCCCCTCGCCTCCTGCACAGTCCACCCCCCCCCCCTGTGCACACCAGGTGCTGGCATCCAAGCAGGGGGGGAGAGGGAGGCGTTACAGCGGGAGGAAGGCACGGGGGGGCTCAGCGCTGCTGCAACTCGTGCTGCTACAACTTTCAGGAAGCTTTGTTTCCCTTCCCCCCACACACACACGACTCCAGGTCCCACCGGGAGGTTGGCATCTGCGCCTCGCCTAAGGCACAGGAACACCTCGGGCCGGCCCTGGCTCTACCCCCCAAATCTCCAGGTATTTCCCAATCAAGAGCTGGCAACCATAAATCTGGGTGTGATTGGAGCATGGACAAGTGGAGCCAAATTGTGCTCGCTCAGGAAAGGCTATAGCAAAAGCTTATTAACGCGTCACAGAGGAGATCTGCACCTCCATCTGGAACTCAGGATCAAAAAGTGCTCTTGACTTTTAAACATACAAGCAAGATACCATCCAGAATAGGCCATTTGTTAACTTTTTGTAAGGTGCATGAAGCTTTTTAGCCGCTCCTAGGAAGAAAATGAGCCAGTCTGTTCTTTCCTCCCAAACGGAACTTACAATCCAGCCGCCTCCGTCCGTGTCCATGTCGCACAGCACGGTCAGTGGCACACAGTCCCGGGGGTAGATGGTGTACCAGCCGCTCAGGATCACCCCCTTGGCCAAGAGCTCTTTGCAGTTCTTTGCCCCTAGATGGAAGAGGAAAGCAATATTTGTGTATGGCAATTGTACAAGAAGTCACAGATTTTAGCTTTGTGGGACAGCCAGCTGAGAATAAAGAAATAACACTCTCTGATCTGTTATTAGCTGAATCAATATTGGGCAGGGGGGAAGCTGGGGGCAACAAAAGGTTTCTGCTGGAAGTCGACAAGGGCTGGTCAACTGAGGCAAGAGAACAAAGGTCATGGGTCAGCGCATGCACTGCTGTACCGGATGTGACTTTTGACTGTGAAGAGGTTCTGGGGAAACACTTACCCTGCCTACAGTGGAGGTCATCCAGCTCTTTTTCTCCTGTGTAAAAGGCACAGCAAGAGAAGGAAAGCAAATCAGACTAGAAATAAACAACTCCTGTTCCCTACCGTGTTTTCCATCCTGTAACTCACTCTCTGGCATTTTGTCCACAAGAGTCATAAAGGCATCCAGCATCCTTCCCATTCATTTCAATAGGGCTTGCTCAGGAGAACTCCCCAATGGACCATGCCCATTGAGTTTATTTCTCAGATGCATGATCCACTTTTTTCCCCTTTAGGCCCACTGCTCACCTACCAAATCAGCTAGCAATTGAGGGAAGTCCAATAGGACCTCTGGCTACTACACGCTTGCCTGGAAATGCCCACAGTTGCATGGGGGTGTTCAGCCCCTGCCAAGCGACAGCATATAGCTGATGGACTCAGAGGACCACATGGTGTCAGGCCTGCTTCAGCCTCTGGGAAGTTGTTATGTATTGAGCCTGAGCCAGCCCTGAAGATGAACCCTGAACTGGGTGATCTTGCTCCCCAAGAACAATAGCTGACCAGGATCCTGGAATTGACCTATAAATAAGTAGTATAATGTAAATAGCCTATAGTTGGGAGTATGTGTGTGTGTGGGGTGTGGGGTGGTGTTTGCATGCTTTATAAGCAGGGCTGGGTGTCCTTGTAGTATGCTGAAATTACTAAATAAACTAGAGCTGATCACTGCAATGCGTCCAGAACCCTGTATTTAACAGAAGTTCACACATCTGCAGCTCAAAAAATTAAAGTATGAATGGGGGCAGTGGAATTTTAGTTCTGCGTGCTCTGGGGGATTTGGAATTGTGCTTCTTAAACCGCAGATCCTGGTTCTGTATCGAAATGCTCCCCACTTTCAAAAGCAGTTTGCCTTGCAGCAATTTGTCTGTAGAAGGGTTCACATTTCAGAAACACAAATCCAAAGCCCCCACCAGAACTAATGGTCCATTTTAGAATATAAACACAACATTTTAAAATACAATACCAGCTCCCACGTGTCTCCAGGGTCTAAATTTTTGTTCAATCTGACAAAAATTACATTCTTACTACTATTTCTCCATGTTTACTAATACTCCTTTCACTGATTTTCGCCCACCTGCCTATTATATTTGACGGTTTCTTAGCTGAGTCACTCACTACACAAGTGCTCTAAACCTGAGATTGTAGTGAATACAAAAGACAGAGTTGCTTACCACATACCACATACACCGCCACCATTTATTAGAATTATGTTTGCTAGCACTTGTTTGCACAAGTTTACACAAGTTGCATGTTCTGGTTTTAACTTTATTACTGTTTTAAAGTATTTCACTGTTTTAATATATTTATACATATTCTGTAAGTCGCCCTGAGCCTGCCTGGCAGGGAGGGTGGGATACAAATTAAATAAGTAAATAAATACCGAATGTTCCTGGGGGGCCTGGCTCTCCTTTGTCCCCTGACAATGAAAGCATAAACATAATGTTACTTGCAGTCTCCACATCTCCAAACAGCTAGAAATCCCATGGGCAGCACTGCCTGGGTTGAGTTCCTTTGGAGGAGAAAGGACTAGAGTCTTATTTATTTATTTGAAACGTTTAAAACCTCAGAGTCAGGACTCCAAGGCAGCAAATAATAAAATCATTAAAACAAATTAAAAGCATAGCTATATACAAAACAATTAAAACAGACATAGACACAAAAACAGGAAGGAAGGTCAATAAGAATCAGTAAGGGAGTGCCAAACAAAACGAAACAGTCTTGTGGTGTCTTTCTTATGTTGGATTTATTTACAGCTGTTCAAGTACAGAACAGGCAGTGGCCAAGAGGAGCCTATAGAGCAGCTGATCTCTCCACTTCATCAAACAGCCGGAGCTGGAGAGGTCTGCACCACACAGCACCTCAGGTGACTCACAGAGCTGTCCATTGGCTTGTCTCTCTTTCTCCAAACTCATAACTTCCCCCCCCTTTCCCACACACCTGCCCCTACCTGCCCCTTCCCCTCAGGTGGGATGGGTTACCTCCATGGATATTGAACAAGGAAGCCAGAGGACTCTCACTGATCAGCTAGCACCCACTGGTGAAACATCGTTCAATAATTCTGAATCATCAGACTCACAAAGAAAAGGTCAGCTAGCATCCTCGCAGTTGGGTTTCCCCCAAGAGAAGTTTTAGGTCTATCCTTTCACAAAACCAGCATCATTGGAGGCATTGCCATGTGTAACCCAAGAATTCCTTACCTTTTGGGCCAGTAGGACCCACATCACCTTTCTCTCCTGGTTAAAGGGAAGGAAAAAGAGGAAGGGATTAGCAAAAGATGGGGGTCATGTGGCTGGGAAAGACCGAGATGTTAGCTGGAGGGTACCTCAGTTCTGTCCATCTGACTGCTGTAGACTCTGGGTGATTTCCCACTAGCGCTGCTCCGGGCTCACGCTTCACTTTTGCCTCGATGGTAGGTGTCAATTTCACACAAGCTGCTGCGCGGCTGCATTTTGCCTCGCAGCTTCGTGCGATTTCCCCCGCGTCTACTCAATCCTGTTTTTTGAGGATTGAGTAGACGCGGGAAAAATTGCACGAAGCTGCGAGGCAAAATGGGCCGCGCAGCAGCTTGTGTGAAATTGACACCGACCATCGAGGCAAAAGTGAAGCGTGAGCCCGGAGCAGCACTAGTGGGAAATCACCCAAAGTCAAGAGGCTCAGGATATGGTTGAATTCTGTGCCGTTACAGGATAAACAGGTGTCCATGGTAACATAGTCAGCATTTTTTCACCTACACCAGACCTACCAGCCAGCTCCTTATTTGTCTGGGTCAGGCGTTGCCACATTGATCCATGCAACAGTCACCTCCAGAATGGACTACTGCATTCACCCTACGTGGGATACCCATTAAAATACTTCAGAAACTGCAGATGGTCCAGACTGTAGCTGCCAAGTTGCTGACTGGAACATCATGGTCAGCTCATATTACTCCAATTCTGTGGCAGCTGCACTGGCTACCAATCAGTCTCTGGATCCAATTCAAGGTGTTGGTGTTAACCTTTAAAGCCCTTAATGGTCTGGGACCCTTACACCTCTGGGACCGCCTCTCCCGTTACAACCCCCTGCGATCCCTTAGGTTATTGTTTAGGGGCCTCTTGCAGGTGCCTGGCCTCAGGATGGCTGGGTTAGCCATCACCAGGAGATGGGTCTTCTTAGTTGTGGCCCCTACCCTGTGGGATGCATTCTCGGATGATACCTGTGCCCTGCCAGACTCGTTTAGTTTTTGCAGATCATGCAAAGCCGAATTGTTTATGTTTGCCTTTGGAGGGTAACCACATATTTGGCCTGTTTTAATACTGGTATGATGATAGCAACATATTTTAATAATTTAATATTTTAATGTTAATATTTTATATTTGTTATTTTTAATGTTGTAAGTAGCCATGAGACTGTTTGGGTGAGTGGCAACTAAAATATCTAATAAATACATAGATATCTCTTAGGTGACCCAGAGCCAAAAAAATTTAGTGGAGGATATATGACTGATATGGGAAATGAGCCACTGAGAGATCAGCAGAAAAGAAATGAACATCAGGGGTGTCCGTTTGAGTATATCCTGGCTGAAAATATAGCCCAAAATCACGTTTTGCGTCAGTTAGGATATATCCAAAGTGACCCAAAACATTCTGAAATTCTGGGAGTAACAGAAATTAATCTCACATTTCCCCTTTTCCAATCCAACCATGGTGGATACAAGTACCCAATTCTGGGTAGACGTATTTAAGAAGTGTGCATAAACACAGGTTAAGTCTCAGCTCTTGCTTCTACCCAGACTGAACTTTTTTGGTCTTGGAGGTGCCACTTGGCTCAAACTCAGTTCTCACATCTGTTTGTTAACTATTTTATTTGTATGCTAATTCACTGCTATTCACAGCCAATCTCAGCTATAATCGCCCAGTTACTTATGCATTTTGACTCTAACTAGCCCTTCCTGGCAACTAACCCTTCCCTCTACCTATATGTAATGGCTGAGGACATCTTGTTTCACTGACTCTGAAGAAGGGTGCTCACACACGAAAGCTTACACCTTGAATAAAACTTTATTGGTCTTGAAGGTGCCACTGGATTCAGACTTTGTTCTGCTGCTTCAGACCAACAGAGCTACCCACCTGAAGCTAGTGATGTAGTTAGGACACAATCTTTGTCTCTCCTCTTTACTATCAAGTATATTAGTTCCTGAATAAACCTTTATCTACACTTTACTCAGGTTGTGTCTCTTTGCTATGTTAATTATTCTGCCAACACCTACCTTGTTTTCTGATTACCTACTGTATATCATCAAAATTCAACAATCTGCATGTTACCTTTCATACCAGTGGGTCCCATTTTTCCTGGGATTCCTTGAAGGCCTTTCTCTCCTATGGGGAAAAAACAAAGAAGGGTAGGCAATTAAGCAACCATCTAAACCAGTTATAGTCTTTAAGGTAGAATTTAGCTGCCTTAAAATTCTGGCAGGAAAACAACTTCCCCTGGACCAAACCTGGAGGCAGACTTTGGCTGTATGAAAGCAAAGAACTGCTTTCTCCTAGGCTGGGTACTAGGGCTTGGAAAGGGAGGGGAAAGCTGGGCAAACATTTTTTAAAAGATACTCTTCAGCTGACATGCAAGAGAGAAAACTTTCGTCATTTCTATTATTCTTTTGTACTGCATGTTTGCAATATGAGGATAAAAAACTACCAATTAAAACAAGAGTTTTCAGTTAAATACATAATAGTACCTACAAAGAAAAAAGTAGAAGCCAGCTCTGACCCATCTTGACCTCCTCTTTTGTAGGGCCGATGAAGTCACAGTATCCTGGGCTCACAAAGACCAGAAAACCAGCCCTACTTGGGGATGACAGCCTCTAGATAAGGGCTTGGAGATCCCCCAGCACGACAGCTGATATCCAGACTAAATAAGTTTCCCTAAAGGCGTGTAGCAGCCCAGTCACAGAATCAGTGGGGGGGCAGCCCTACCGCAGAGGCACCCACCTGAAGCAAGGGAGCGGTGGGATGTGCCACTCCTAGGAGCCAACAGCTATTTTACTGGCGCAGGGGTGTGCGCCTGCTGGCCCCAACATCTCCACAGCAGCACTGGGCCCTTCATGTAGGCCTGGTGGGGCAAGGCCAGCCCAGCACTGCTGAGAACACCAGTTCCACAGAGGATGTGGTTGCAACAGTGCCGGTGCGTTCACCCAGGCAAGAGAAGGGAGCCTGGGAGGCTAGGGGTGCCAGCAGGCCCGTAGCCAGGATTTTTAAAGCCAGGGGGCATTTAAATTTCTTAGGGGGCACTGGCTAATCAAATTAATCCAGGGGAGAAGGCAGTGATGCACTGGGCTAAATGGGAAGTCAGGGGGCCTTGCCAGCAAGTCGGGGGGCCTAGCCCCGAGATGACCCACTGTAGCTACGGGCCTGGGTGCCAGCAACTCGGAGGAAGAAATCCCTGCCTCTTTGACAGTGACTTAATGGGATGCTATTTACCAGGTGGTATTATTTACCTCCATGCCATGGAAAGCTTCATTAAACATCTGTGAAAGGGTTGCCAGTCCCCAGGTCCCAGTGGGGTTACCCTGATTTTCAGGGCTCCAGCCAGCTGGCTGGTGGAGGAAACCCCACCCCCAAACAGCCAAGTCCCCCACGTGATGTCCCCAACACAATGACTTACACGGAAGTGATGTCATCACTTTAGGGCTGTCGCGCAGAATGCTCTGGTTTGAGGGCAAAACTCTATGATAAACTTGGCCTAAAACCATAGAGTTTTGCACTCAAACCAGAGTGTTGCCACACGATGTCGCCGACGCGATGCTGTCACTTATGGGTTATTTCATCAGGTTGGGGACATCCTAAAATGCCCCCAAAATCCCCCCACCAGCATGGCGAGGGGACCTGGCAACCCTAAAGGGGCAGGAAATTTTTCTCCAGGTAGTTGGTCACCCTACAGGAAGGGAACAGCTGGGAAACTGAGTAGGGACTGGGGATATAAAGGGCAGAGAAGGAGAAGAGGGTAACAACAGAAAAGGAACTGGAGGACACTAGGAAGAAGGAACATAAGAAAGAATGGGCGGGAGCCAAAGACCCAACTAAGTTGTCATGAAAGAACTCTGGTACCCTCTACTGGTCCCAGTGGATAAAACAATGGGCTGTATATGTATACTAGAGTCAGGTGGGTAGCTGTGTTGGTCTGTCCAGTGGCAACTTTATCTGAAGAAGTGTGCATGCACACAAAAGCTTATACCCAGAATTAAACACATATGTATTAATCATTAAAGATGTACCTATAGCTGCAACTGGCCTTGGTGTTTCTTCATGAAGGGTTTTGCGGGGGAGGGTTCACATATCATTGCCCACCAGGAGGGGGGGCAAGGAACCATAAACTCTAGGACAGGGGTGTCAAACTCGTTATGAGGGCCGGATCTGACATCAATGAGACCTTGTTGGGCCAAGCCATGTATGTCATATAATGGAATGCCAGGTAGTGGAGATATAAGCTTTATAAAGGAAGAATAAGAAGAAGAGAAGGAGATTGGATTTATACCCCGCCCTTCACTTGGAGTCTCAGAGCGGCTTACAAACTCCTTTCCCTTCCCCTCCCCACAACAGACACCCTGTGAGGTGGGTGGGGCTGAGAGAACTCTGACACACACTGCTCTTTTTCAAGGACAGCTGTGCCAGAGCTTGTGACTGCCCCAAGGTCACATCAGCAGGTGCAAGTGGAGGAGCGGGGAATCAAACCCGGTTCTCCTAGATTAGAGTCCGCACACTTAACCACTACACCAAACTGGACACAAAGAGCTTTTTGCAAGGTTGACTGGTATAAGGCAGAACATTTAAATTTATAATCTGAATGTTGGTGGGCAGAAATGCCCTCATGGGAAGGGGAGGGGTTGACTTTTGACCTCCATGGAGCATCAAAGGATATGGCAGCACATCCTTGCTGAGGTTCCTCCTCAGACTTCACCCTCCCCAGGCACTGCCTCCAGGTCTCTGAGAGATTCTCAAACCAGAGGTGACAACCCTGGCTATAATTCTGGGAGAACTCCAGGCTTCACTTCTAGGTCGGTAGTCCTAACCTGAAATGTTACATTGCTATCACAGATACATATAAAGGTTTCTGGATCAGGCTTGTTCATTGGTCACAGCAGTTGGGAGTTTCCACTGTGGCTGGTCCTTGCCAGCTGTGGCTGGATCCCTCTTAACCCCCACCTTGCCTCATCCTGGGTCGTAACGACTCCTTGCCCCGTCTTGCACACAAACTGGGTATTTTACAGCACGGCTCTTGAGCCAGTCTCAACCCCAGAAACTTGTTTTTAAACAAATCTAGCATCTATATAATGACATACCTTTTGCACCATTAGTTCCTGGGTCTCCTTTTGGCCCTGTCGCACCAGGTACGCCTGGACATCCTCGGAGGATGGCGAGCTTCTCATCACCGTTCAGGCCCACAATACTCACATCTGCAGAGAAATCATATTTACAGTGAAGAGCAACCTTCTGACATGCGGCATATCCAGCAAAGCATGAACTCCAGAAGTGTAAATCCTCATAGAAAGCAACACTCTGTGAAATTCTGTGCAGCTGAATATAACATTTGTCAGAACTTTTTAGGTATTGACGAATTATAATATTTTATTGTTCTTAATAATCAAAAAATTATTTAAAAACCATTCACATAATGTACTAATTTCATATATGTATGTATATGTATATATGTGTAGCAAAGAAGCCCAACATCAGGATGCCAAGGAAAGGGAAGTTGAGAAAGAGCCAGTGATCCTTGAGGAAGAGAACATATGGGCAATGAGCCAAATACCAAACACCAAGGCCTCAGGTGTTGATATCATCTCTGCGGAATTGCTGAGGTCTGTACGACCCACAATCATCAGAGCCCTGTGTCAGAAAATTTGGGAAACCAACACATGACCAAGGGACTGGAAACGCTCAGTGTTCATTCCACTACCAAAAACAGGAGACTTCAGAGACTGCTCCAATTATTGCACAATCACCCTGTGTATCCCTCACATTAGCAAAATTCTGCATAAAATTATATAAAAATGCCTGACACCAATCATTGAAAGGGAATTACCAGATAGCCAGCTTCCAAAGGTGGTGTGGCACTCGCAACCACATAGCAAATCTGCACTGGATCATGGAGAAATCTCATGGATATCAAAAGATTATCAACTTATGCTTCATTGATTACCAGAAAGTCTTCAATGGTGCCAATCACAACAATCTGTGGAGAGCCCTACAAGACCTGGAGGTGCCAGTGCATCTGGCTAAGTTGATACAATCATTGTACACAAACCAGAAAGCCACTGTGCAAACACTTTAAAGAGATGCTGATTGGTTCAAGATAGAGAAAGGAGTACGACAAGGTTGCATTCTTTCAGCTTTACTATTCAACATGTATGCCAAAAGAATCATGAGGAAGTTAGAGCTGGAAGAGTCAAAAATAGGGGTAAAGATTGGAGGAAGGAATATCAACAATCTTCAATTTGCTGATGACACAACCCTCATCTCCGAAACTAAAGAAGGCCTGGAATACGTGATCAAGAAAATGAAAGAAGAAAGTGAGAAGTTTGGCCTCTTCCTAAACATCAAAAAGACCAAGTTCATGACCACTGGGAATAGAAATGTCAAAATAAGAGTTGACAATGAAGAGATCGAATATGTGGAAGAATTCACTTTCTTAGGATCACAGATCAACCAAAATGGTGACTGCAGACCAGAAATAAAATGCCTAAACTTACAGCAATGATGAGCATGAATTGAATATGGAAGAGCAAGGACATCAGCCGCAATCAAATGCAGATTAGTCTGTGCTATTGTGTTCCCCACAGCAACCTATGGTTGCGAAAGTTGAATCATGATGAAGCAAGAGAGGAGGAAAATCATTTGAGCTGTGGTGCTGGAGAAGGTTCCTGCGCATTCTTTGGACAGCAAAGATGACAAACAAGACATGTCATTGGAAGAAAAAATCACAAAGCTGCAACTGACTTATTTCAGTCATGTCATGTGGAAGAACTCACTAGAAAAAGCAATTATGCTTGAATTGGTTAGTGGCAAAAAGGAAATCTGGCCGCCAAAGAACACAGTGACTAGACACCATAAAAATAGAGGGAGGCAGGGCTTCGGCGCATCAAGACATTCGACACCAGGAACTGCTCCTGGCTATGACTGATTCTTCATTCTTTTTAGGGAGGTTTCAGGGGATCCTGAATCCTACTGGACTCCTGGAGGGAGGTCTGGAGCAAGGGACTTGATTCGGGCCCCTCACTTGAGGCAACAAGTAGGTGGAACCCTTGGATCGTCCCAGAAGCACGGAACGAAGAAGAGCAGGTTTGGCAGCCATAACCTGCACCAGATGTGAATGCCCCCAAGTAAGAGAGTTATTTTGAGCCTCATCCAAAACACCAATGAAGACACGCAACTGTGAGTACCTGTAATAGCAACAGCAACATTGAGGAGTATGATGATTTCTTCAAATAAGCCCCTTTAAATCTCCAAAACGATACAGAAAGGAGAGGTGGAATCCCCCCCCCCCCGGTGACAAAGAGTCATTAAAAGAATGTTGAGATAAACACTTACTGGGGCAAAGAGGGAACTCAGCCTCTGCAAGAGAACTATAAATTTTCTTCTTAAACGTATTTTTAAAAGCAAGAAAGAAGAAGAAGAAGAGATTGGATTTATACCCCGCCCTTCACTACCCAAAGGTGCCTCAGAGTGGCTTACAAACTCCTTTCCCTTCCCCTCCCCACAACAGACACCCTGTGAGGTAGGTGGGGCTGAGAGAGCTCTGACAGATACTGCTGAGAACAGAATAGAAGTGCACTCTGTTTTGTCTGCTGGGAACGGATCAGCTTGTTTTGTCTAGTGTTTCCAGTGAAGATCTAAGAATCTGATTTGTACTGAGGGATCCTTATTGACAATATTACTAAGCATGGTAAACTTTGAAAAGGTTAATGACAATAAATAGCAGAGACTGTGGACCTTGCTGGAACTTTTGATACAGCTTTAAAATGCAGGGACAGGATTTAAAAAGAAAGTTTAGAGAGCTCCTCAGAAATGAACCAGCTGCAGCTGTCTTGGGAGGAGCTTAGGGACATGATGGGGGACGCTGTTACCCTTGCATTAAAGGAAGCTTTAGAACCTGCAATGGACAAACTTGTTGTAACATTAACCCAAACTACAATTCAGATAAAGGAACTTCAGCAACAAACAAAGCTAGAAGAAGAACAGCCCCAGCGCCAAATTATGCAAGCTGCAGGGAAATACTACAAACAACCTGATTCAACCAATGGAGAAAAGGATCTGCAGTACTCCAAAATGCTAGACGCAGAACAAACCTACAATCAAGATGTTCCAATTTACAGAAAAAACAACAGATCTGCTAAAAGACTGATAAATCTTGGAATTCTCAAAGCTATAATTCAAAGACACGATGAAGTAGAAGCTAAGAACAGCAGACCTACTAAAAGTCTGTCAAATCTTGGAATCCTTAAAGCTATATCTCAGAAGGAATATGAAGGAGAAGCTATGGGAATTTTAACCACCTTAAAAAATGAACACAGATGGCGAATGCTAAAAGAAATCCCCTCTATAAGGAAAAGAGGCACAGAATGATGATCTTATTGAAAAAAGAGAGTTACAAAAAGAAGGAAAAAATAAAGCTTTTTAAATAAGACTGATATAGAGAATCCCAGTCTCTGTGTAATTGGCTAAGATGGGCTAGGGGAAACTGTATTTACAATTAATTAACATTGATGATAAATTTAATTCACTCTTTTATAGGTATTTATAAAATTATAGCCCACAATAAAATTAGGGAAGAGAGGGATTTATATTATGTATGGGGATGCCTATTTGAACAAAAATGGTTAGAGAAGGAAATTTAGGTAAAGATAATAACATAGGATTGTAGAGAATGTAATTCATAAAAGTATTATAAGGATTAGATACTTGAAGCAGGATTGAGAATATGTTTTTGTTAAAATATCAGCATAATTTGAAAGGTAAAATTTGGGTAATAGTTAAGTTAGTTTATAGAAGATTATTTTAGAATGCTTAAACAGGAGAGAGATTGTCTTTGATTGTTAATAGAAATGCAAATGGTAGATTATTTGATTATGTAACTTTAAGATATATTCATAGAATATAGATTCAGAATAGAATTATTAAAAAACTAGACTGTAAAACATAGATTTGCAAAAACAGTATTGACAATTTGTGTGAAAGTGGCATATAGACATATATACAAGAGGTGATTTAAGAGATATGATACAGCTACTAATTTTTGTCTCTGTGTTTGTAAATTTGTTAAAAAATAATAAAAATTATTCACAAAAATAATGGAACAACTCAAAGAAACGGTACAAGATCAGAAAACATGGAGAGAGCTGGCACATAGAATTGCCAAGGGTTGAACACGATTGAATGGCTAACAACACACACACACACATATACACACACACACACACACACACACCATCCATTGTATTGTATTTAACTAGTAATTACTTTTTAGTCATTTATTGTAGTGCATTTAAAAAATCTTTATCTTGTGAAATTGTATAGAGTTTTGTGCTGGTCTAAGACCTTAGTAAAGATCTGATATGATTTCATTAAACCATCGTGTCTAAAATTGGAAACTTTAGAGCCAACCAACCAAGGAACACCTCTCACCTGTACGTGGGTGCTGGATTTTAATTTGGAGACTGCTCATGGTTCAAATGTTCCATGACAGTAAGAGAAGTCAAGGGTTTCTTCAGTGGCTTCTTCTCCCAGCACATTACTCCTCCTGTCCTTTCTTCGCCCACCCTCTGTCTAGAGTGGGGAGGGGTATTTAGGAAGCTGTCTAAGGGAATCCTCTGAAACGATCTAAGGGAACCATCCTAAGCCTTTCCAGCCTATCTATTTTAAAAAATGTTAAAATACAATGGATTGGAGTAGCAAGATGATCTTTTTTAGTTGCTAAACAAATCATAAACTACCAACCAAATGGGTAAACTGATCACTGGTACATTAATTACTGGACCTACCTGCACACAGGAGATAATAGGAGTAAATACTCCTAACTTTCTAGAAAATTGCTAAATGTTTTGCCATCAATTGCTGTAGGATTTCTGCTAATTTGGGCACAATACATTATTAAAAGAGATTTTTCTAAACTTCAAAATGAGGCCTTAATGACTGTTGTAGATTGGGTCCATCCCAAACTATGGCAACAAGAATGGATAAACATTTTTATAGGAAATGTCACCTTCCACAAATTTTCAAAGCAATGTGGTGCTGCCTTTAGAATTTTAAAAAAATTGTCAACAGATACATTTCAACATGTATATCGACTGCAAAATTTCAACAAAATCCGTTACAGTGGTGCAATCCCCAAACATCGGTTAATTTGTGAGGAAATGCTGTGCCCGGAATCTGTGGCATGCAAAGGAGGGGATTGTCAGCTAGCTGCCATATCTGTGCTGTCTACCCTTCCCTCTTCCCCGCTTTGCTTGCAGCTCAGCAGCTTGCTGGAAACATGGCAGGGAGCTGTGGGAACTAGATGCCGTTATCAGTCTGGCCTTGTGCATTAGGGGGGCTTGAAATCCACCTTCGGTGTGAATTTTGCTGCTCCCAGGAAACCATGGGACTCTCCCGCTCATTATGTAATCTCCCGCCGGGAGTTTTCCCATGCGCGCACTCGAAGTTCATTCACTTAGCTAATGGCCTTGCCCAGCTATATGTATTTGGATGTTCTCGCCTTCCTAACAATAATCCTGTGGACATGGTACCAGTCTGGTACACTAATAAACATAACGCTTCAGGAGAAACGTGTGTGAAGAGTTACTTG